ATGCACCGAGATTACCATATGTAATAATAATGTTTTCCATAATAATATATGCACATAAGATTTATTTGAATCTCTAGTGTATTATTCTTCATAGAATTATCTCCTTATTTCTTTTTTTAAACTTTTACCATTTTTTACAATTATTTACTCCTTTCATTATATTCGCAAATATGTAAATAAAAAAATCTTTAAAAATGCTTTTTATATAGTAATCAGTATTATTTTGTATATACAATAATGTACCGAGTACTATTTTATATCCGTATTTTATTTCCTTATTTATAACAATTTTTATATTTAATACTAATAAGTATTATTTTTTATATATAGTAATGTAGTATTGTATATACGTAGTATATTAGATTTTTATCGGATCATGTTACAAATCTTTTAAGACAATACCATTAATATATTAATGTTTTTAGTACTTCGTCTCAAAATTAAAATGAAATTAAATTAAATCTGTACATAAAAAATGAAGACATATCTCCATAATAATTTATTTCCAAATGTGGAAATAAAAAAACAAAACAATATAATGCAAATATGGAAAAAACAAAACAATATAACAAAACCTTTTCTTCCGATTTCCCTTTTTAATTCTCACCATATTTTATTTATTTCCTACTTTCATTACTTTATTACCTTTTTTTCACAAATATAGAAATATTTGTTAATTAAGTGCATTTTTTTCTATATTAAATAGGGTCGTGATTTTATTACTTTATAACTTTTATTCACAAATATGCATATGAAAAAAACCAAACAATTTAATGCACGGCTTGCTTCTGATTTCGTTTTTTAATCTTTACCATTTTTTACAATTATTTCCTCCTTGCATTACTCTATTAATTTTATTTGCAAATATGTAAATAAAAAAACAAAACTCTTTACATATAATATTAATCAGTAATATTTTATTATATACAACAATGTAGTATTTTATATCCTGATTTTTATTTCCTTAATTAAAATAGATTTTATATTTAATAATAATTAGTATTATTATTTTTATATATAGTAATGTATATGTACAAATTTTTAAATGTAATATATTAGATTTTTTATTGAGTCATGTTACAAAACTTTAAACACATTATCATTAATATATTTATTTTTTATTATTTCCGTTTGAAAAAATTGCTTTTCATTTCTTATTTAATTCTTGCCATTTTGTATTTATTTCCTCATTTAGTGGTATCAAGGTAATAATATAGTAGGAAATTGTTACCTTTTTTAGAGTGCCGTAATATTTCCTCCTTTAATGGTAACAAAGTAATAATATAGCATTAAATTCTTACATTTTTAGATTGCTGTAGGTCTACATTAATGAAATATTTTATATCAACCGTAGATGATCAAATCCTCAAAGATCAACGGCTTACAAAGGTGTGAGTTTGGGTGGGAACCGTATAAAGTAAATTTCTTTTTTTATAACACTTTAAAACCTAAATATGTATATGCACAATGCTTTCCTTTTTCGAGTAATGAATGCACGATATTAATTCTGGGCATTAAATACACGCGGTATTAATTTTGGTAATTAATACCAATAGTAACAGATACACAATGCACACAGTATTTCCCTAATAGATTAAAATACACACGGTATTAATTTTGGTAATAATCGGGAATACACACGGTAATAATGCTGTAAATACACACAGTATTAATTTTGATAATTAAATAAAAACGCATTAAATACACACGGTATTTCCCTTTTTATCTCGAGTAATACACATGGATTAATAATAACCGTAGATTAAATGTAATAGATTAAAATCGATGGTCCATAGATGATAGTCATTGGGCGGGAAAAAGCATGGGGCATAATTCCCCTGCTTTTAAGAATAGGATAATTTATTAAAAACAAACTAAAAATATAATATAAATGCAAGAATTACAATATTGAATAACATATACATAATACGTACATAATCATCATATATATAACATTTACAATATCTAAAATATGTTATGAAAAAATTAATAAGCATAATATTCGTTCACTAAAAGTTTCAAGAATATATAATTAAGTTTTTAAAACAAAATGACAAAATTTTGGGGAAAAAAGCCCTAATTTCAATAACTTTTAAAATTAGAACTAAATGTCAAATAATTTACATAATGTACTCTTAATATATATCATCAATCAATAATAATTTTGTATTATAGTATAAATATATAATCTATAGTCAATTTTTTTTCAAGTTCAATTATAAGAAAATGAAAAAAACCTGATATTTGAAGATGAAGACCGGCACCAGGTGGACAACGAGCGGCGGCGAGTGGCGGCGAACTCGACAGCGAGTGGCGGGGTGCTGGACGGCGAACGACGTTCTGTTCTGCACTTCTGTGTCGTCTTCGGCGTTCTGTCTGTCTTAGAAAAGGAATTTCGTATTTAAAATCTAAATCGTGCGGCGACGGAATTTAGCGACGGAAAAATTCCATCGCTAAGCCAAAACGATGCGTTTAGATAAAATGAAGTAGGCGACGGTTTATTTCCGTCGCCAAACTAAAGCGGGAAAATTTCCTTCTCCATTTCCGTCGCTATAAAAGGCGCGCACCACTTCCTGCGTATACCTAACAACGGAACTTTAAATATGTCGTTACGTCTGGTAGGCATCCTAAATTCGTCGCTAATTCCGTCGCTACCAACGACAGAAAGTATTCCGTCGCCAAATTCCATCGTTCTTTTGGCGTTTTCTTGTAGTGAATGTCTTAGCATGGAGAACATCCAAAACTCCGAGACGAGGTATCGTATGTTGGCTCCTCATGGTATGGGTAATAGTCAGACGAACATTATTGACTGGGTTGTCATCATAATAGGAGTCTTGATATGGATAAAATGGTGGATAGTAATTGGACTGTTGTGGGTAGTAATGAAACTGTGGGAATATGATGGTGGGTGGTTTGGTGGTTGGTAGAAAGGAGATCGATAGTTGTAATCATCTCAAAAATTCATTTTAATCATTACTATGGGTGGTTTGTGAAAAAGAAGTTGGAAAATCGACCTAACCGGTCCTCATCCAAGCTAATTAAAAAAATAAATTAAAACCATGCCACTTCCCGACGACGCCATTTGATAGAAGAGATTTTAGCGCAAGTCAATCTTCCCAATGAAGGGTCAGTTTTCTACGAGTGTCATGTCTCTCAAAGAGTGGATGAAGAGAGTTAGCTAATTTTTCTTATTAGGTGAAGGTTAGGACGAGTCTGAACGTCTTCTCGATTCGATTTGAAAAACAAAATACTATACTACTGAGTGCTTTTTTTGAGAAGAGAAAAATAAATAGTAAGGGTATACGACTAAACTTCAGGCCAAGGCATCATCTAGGTTAACTACTGTTGTCACATATTTAATCAATAATTGGAATAATAATATTTCTGTTAGAAATATTTTATTAACTTATTCTCTCTCAAGGTACCATTAATGTGTTCTAAAAAGTTTGACTTAATTAATTTTATATCTTCATAAACATGGCAAAAACTAATTTCCAATAATTAATTAATTTTTTATTCGACATATTTAATTAATTTAACAATAAAAATAATTTTAGAATAATTGTTCCAACAATTAAATAAACATATAGAGTCTATACCCAAATTCAATCTAGACCCTAACACATACTCCGTACTAAATATTAACAGGACATAGAAAAAAAGAAATTATTTCATTAAAAAGTTATATCCCCCTTATATATACGCTCTTTTTCCGTCTTCTTTTCGTCTTTTTTAACGCCTATCTTCGTTACTTCCAAATCGCACGAATGAATGAAGGATGTCATTGGCCAATTTGCCGCCCACCGCCCCGCCAAGACACACACAGTCACACAGAGTTGCCGTTCACCGCCCCACCATAGGGACAGGGTCACCCTTTTATATCTTCCTGGGATTGCAGATGTCACTCCTCTTCTCCAACTCCTCTCCGCCAAACCAAGGTAACCACCGTAATCTTCCGGACTCAAACTTTTTTACCAGAAGTAGTTTCATGATGGAGAAAAGAGGGGTTAGCACAAGTCGGTGGGTCAATTCTTCTAGAATCCATGCCGCTGCTTGATTGATCGGGGAAGGAGATTGCTTGATTGTGACCTCCCATGTCCAACTTTTGATTTCATAAGTAATTGCATGGATTCTGCCAAACTGAAATTACATCCTCAGGACTCCTCTTCTCCAACTCCTGAAATTACAGACTTATAGACTTTAAGCTAGGTCAGTGATTATTTGTGTTTGGTCTTTATTTTCATCAATTGCTCCATTTCTTTGTTTATTTTTCTCTGGGTCAGTGTTTGCAAGCAGACCCTTCTCTTTTCTACAATTGATTTGCAGGGAGGTAGTGTAGGATTTTCCCTCTCCCATGATTTCATTCTTCTTTTAGATAAGTGATATTGGTAATGTCAAACCCATTAATTGACTTGGTTATTTTTAAATAGTTGCAGTTATGAAATTAGTTTTTATTTATTCATTTAGAAGACTCAAATTCAGTAAGATTCAGATCAGAATCATAATTTATTGATGATTCTTGGTGTTCACATGTTTGCAAATACTATTATTCGTTTTTTACAATGGAAGAATTAGTTGCCAAAGGCCTTCTACTTTAGATACCAATGAAGGGGCTGTTGTTGAAGGGAGGGATTTGGTCCATACAGTCTTAATTTTCCAAGAGTTAGCAAGGGGTTATAATAGAAAGAGGATCACCTCTAGGTGTGTGCTTGATATGCACCAGCCTGCCCATTTCATTTATCACTTGACTATACCAAAAGTTTACATATTTATCAATGTGAGAAATAATACTAGCATAGTGTTGTGTCCTTAGCTTGCCTTTGCACAAGGTGGCGCCCATGTAAGTAAAAGGCAGTGAACAACATTTCATCTCTACAACCTTTTCCATTTCATTAATTGCTCTTTTGGTTTGGTTTGGTTTTTGGAAGATGACTTTAACTTTTATTTCTCGAGGCAACTAATTACAAATATGGAGTCCTGTTTTTTAAAAACAAGAACAAGTAAATGCTCCGTGGAAATTAAAAAAATATTTCTTAAAAATCAAATACATATTCTAAGTCAAATTGCGAAATTTCAAGTATACTACTACTCTTTAATAACTCAAATACTATATTTTTATCACTTTACTCGAGTAGTATCTTAATACAAACATATATCGAAGAATCCTCTTTAAACCGAATTATTCAAACTTCTGCTAATTTGAAATATATAATAAGACACGGGCTTCCCTCTTCATATTGGATTGTTTAATACGGAGTATAAATATTCTAGAGCAATACTTTATATAGCGTATATGAAATTTTAAGGGAAAACAACGAAAAAACCAAAGAGAATTAATGAGATTGTATTAGCTTATGGGTTCAGTTGTCAGTATGCATATATTTTGTAGTGCTTTGTAGCAGATACTCCCTCTGTTAGTTATAACAATTAACTTATTTTAGTTCTTAATGTTTGGTACAGGTGACTTAAATACTGCTTGTGCCCCATGTTAATCTCTTCAGGTTATTATTGAACTTCCTTGGTATGTTTACATCTCCCTAATATTATTAACGCCTAAGGGGGTTAAGCTCGATTTTTTCCCGTCTAATTTCTAACGCCTCTACTGTTCTCTGTTTCTTTCTCTTCCTAATTGCCCAGCCTCTTTCCATCTCTCTCCAATTCCCCCACGAACGCTGAATGCTATTCGCCATTCTCGCCGCCCACTGCCCCACGATGAGAGCTTATTCACCGCCCACCTCTCATATTTTCATTCTCTTTCCGATACATCTTTGTCCTTCAATTTCCCGGTATTTCGTTGTTTCTTCGTGCCTCTTCATATCCCTGCATATTTAGGAATTCATCATTATCATCTTCTTTAATTTGAGTTGTTGATAGTTGAATTTCACAGATTTTTAGAAGTAGGTGTTTCAACATTTGGGAATCTGCTCAAGCTTTAGGGAATTCCAAACTTTGGAAGTTTCTAGGATGAAGTTCTTTTGAAATCGAGTCAATTTTTAATACACCTATTCTAATTTCGGAAAGACTTGGTGAAAGAGAGGTGATCAAATCCTCCAAATCCCCACAAACAGATTGTATATATGTCGTGCATGTTTGTGAAAATCATTTATCTCATAGAAATGATTTGGAGGATTTGAAGTCCTTAAAAGGTAATTTAGAATGCGCTTGTGCAGTTGTGCCCATTTGGTGCCCAAATGAAGGGTATAAATAAGCTTTTTGTTGAGCTGTAATGTAGCTAAAGCTATTGTTTTTTTACAAATCCGAGGTTCATGTTACGTTGTTTGTAATATTTAGATGTATGAATTTGTCAGATAAAAGGGGTTTTTCTTCAACAGATGTTATACCCGAGTAATATTTAGGACTTTCTACTGCCTATTTTAAGGGATTTTAGGAGTAAGATTTCCATGTTTGGTCTATCACAGTAGCACTGATGATGGAAAAAAAAGGCAAATATAGCTAAGGTAGATAGTCTTATTTCTTCCTTTTTTGGCTTCTTATCGTTGGGATCTTCGCATGTAGTAGTGACCTCTACCTGAGTACTTGCGGTTGTTGATGCCGGGTAGATGGGCATTAAAGATAGCAACCATAGTCATAGAATTGTAAATGTAAATTTTAAGAAACAAGCCAAAGGTAAATCAAGTCCAAACCATCCCAAATGGCCTAAAATTCACTACAAAGGACCATTGTGCAAACTATTCATAATGACCTCTTTTGCAAACACTTCGATCTTAGACAATTCTGCTATAACATTGTAGGTTGCACTGCTGAACAGTTCTTCAGTTTCTAGACACTAATAAATCTGATTGCTTCCAATTTAAGTCTTACTCAAACCAATTAAAAACTTTGCAAGCTAAAATAAACATCAATCACCATCATAAACCATAAATTATACTTAATGTTCTTTTTTTAAAAAAAGTGTTTATCATATGAACTGTAATTAGGATAAATTTAATTCTCAAAAGAAAAAAATGAATTAAAAGAGGGAACAGAGGCAAGACGTTACAAGATCCAAACATAATGATGAACACATTTTTGATACTTTGTATGTGATTACAAATTTAGAACAATTTTCTCATTGGTCAATGTTTTGATTATATTTTTTAATGCTTCATACGGGTGACAAAATACTGTTCGTGTTCTTTGTTGGTCTCATCAAGTTTTTGTTCAACTTCCTTGGTATGCTTACGCACTTTTAAGATTTACAACAACAACAACAACAACCCAGTTGAATCCCACAACAGTAGGGTCTGGGGAGGGTGTGTGTACGCAGACCTTGCCCCTACTCGGAAGTAGGGAGGCTGTTTCCAAGAGACCCCCGGCTCCACCTGCACAAAAATATGGAAGAGAACACAGTATAGCACAGATAAGGCACAACGCACTTTTAAGATTTATATGCTTTTAATTTTTTTTGAAAACAATGTTTGTGTCTAGGTCTAGAAATGTATTGTGAATCTTATTTGCTTACAAATATTTTTCTTTAAAAGTCGTACACTCTAACTCACTTTAATTTAAGTCAAAACATACATGGGAGCTTCTTTATAAGTATTTCTAATTTTTACCTACAACTTTTGCCAAAGACACATAGTAGTAAGAACACCTTATCTCCCTTCTTTGGTATCTAGCTATGGTCAGTTTGATGGCTGTTCTGATGTTAATCCAGTGGTAAATCACAAGTTTAAGAAATTGCAGTACATTGAAGTCAGTTTATATTGAATTCAGCAAGCACTCGATCTCAAGACTTAGAAGAAGACATGTTACAAAATTATAGCCAAATGTGTATCTTACCAGACCCAAAGGTATTGGTACTTAATAGAAACCTGCAACATGAACCAAAAGTGTTAAAACGACATATATAGACAACGATTACCTGCAACGACTTATGTTGCTTCTCTTTTCCAATATTGATTTCCTTAGTTAAGCCAGGGGTGAGTTAAATCAGTTGCCTGTCTCAAAAAAGCGAATGCTCTTATATAAGACTTATCACAAAATTTGGAATTCTAATATGTTGACATCATCATGCATGCAACTATAAACCATTCTTTCTAAACATGTGAGAAGGAATGAGCAGGTAGGTATAATCATGCATCTATCAATCCATATGTACGCTCTGTTCTGTTTATAGACTATTATTTTTACATGATGATCAAAATCCAAAACTGTATTTGTAGGGAACTGCACAAGGCTGCATTCCGGGCTTAAGTTCATTTGAATAGTCGTATCAACACCCCATGCTAACGAGTGAGCAAGAGCATTAGAAAAAAACAAACAAAAAAAAGAAATAGAACCAAGCAGAGACATAAAAAGGCGGCACCCGTCAATGATCGAACCAAAATAAGAAGAAGTCGACTCCACCTGAAGGGCTTGCACAAACACAAGCAATCAGAACACACCCCAACATCACGAGTGCCCTTCTTCTTAAGCTAAGAAAGCACCTCCCAATACGTTATAGCTTCCGCTAAGAGAGGATCATGGAGACAACTCAACCACCCAATGGTGCTTTTTTACTATTGTCATTTTGAATAGGCACAAAATTGCACCATATGTATAACATTTGTATCGAGAGCTCTAAACATTAGCCGTATGTAAACCTTAGAGTATATAGATTGCTATGGCACTTATGCAAACAATATCTTGGGCACCATACGCGCAACGTGCGTCTCAAGCTAGTATATATATATAAACTTACAATCGGAGTATGGCTGAGGCCTTTTCGGGCAACCAGAACAAAATTATACTACAAAATATTACATAAAACCTGAGAATGTGAGCGAAAAATGGAGTCGGGGCCTTAATAGACCCGGAAGAATTGATGATGAGCAAAGGAACGGAGCTGAGTTTAAATAGGCAGAGCTGGGGTGGTTGGTGGCTGGAGGAGGGGCCGTCCACCAGAGTGACCTCCGTCCTCCATCACAGTCAAAGTTGCTCTTCGGAAAAATCATAGGACGGGTCGTCCTTGTTCATGGTTGTTGGCTTTCTTCATTGCCGTCATTTTATGCTTGTTCCTTTCTTTCTTTCTTTCTTTTTTTTTGTTGTTTTTTTCCCGTTTTTTCTTTTTGGTTGTGGAATCTTGCTCCACTTTTTTTCAATTCAAACAATTCAATTTGGAACTGCTTCAATCTCTTTGCTGTCAAATCTTTTGACAAGTGCACCTTCACATTTTAATGTACATTTTACACTCCATGGTTTTTCACAATTTTTTGTCCTCTTGCTCAGTAGCCTTCCAAACGCATAATTTTTTTATACTTTTGAACCATTTTGAATCAATTTTGATTATTTTTGCAACAAGACATGACTTTTGTACATTTTTACAATTATAAACAAAAACTTATAAAAATCAATGAGAAATTGTCTTGTTCAATCCAAAATTGGAAATAGCACATTAAATACAAAGAAGATAAGTGCGTACAAAATGGACTTATCAACGTGCCATATGTTCACGCTCCTCAGTCGTCTTGGGTGACTGCTCCTTTGACAATTTGATGTGATTTGCCAACGGAGTAGTCATGAGTTTAGCATCTTTAACCCTGAATCTGCTCATCAGCACCTTTTTAATGTACTGTTCCTGAGATAGAATTAAGGTACCGGCAAATCTATCCCGAGAAATCCTCATCCCCAAAATCTACTTCGCTGCACCCAAATTCTTCATCTCAAACGCTGAAGACAATTTTGCCTTCAAATAGTTAATCTCCCTCATGCTAGATCCTGCATTCAGTATATCATCCACATACAAGAATATATAGACATAAGAATCAGTGTATTTCTAAAGTAACAACACTGATCCTTTTCACCCTTGCAGAAACCACTCTTGATCATAAAGGATCCAAACTTCTTGTACCACAATTTTGGTGCTTGCTTCAGTCCATACATGCTCCTGATGAGCTTGCACACTATGTGTTCCTTTCCTAGAAGAACAAATCCTTCTGGTTGTTACATATTAATCTTCTTGTCGAGATCTCCATGTAAAATTGTTGTTTTCACATCCATTTGCTCCAAATGCAAATTCTCCGATGCAAGAATACGTATTCAGCATAATTTGGATAGAGGTTAACTTCAAAACAGGAGAAAATATTTTAGCATAATCAATACCTTTCCTTTACGAATAACTTTTAACCACTAAACGAGCCTTGAACCTCTTTTTGCCATCTGGAGTCTTGATCTTGAACACCCACTTGCTTAGCAAAGCTCTCTTCCCTACAGCTAACTTAGTCAACACACACGTGTTGTTTTTCTCAAGTGAGCTCATCTCATCATCCATGATTTTCTCCCACTTGACTGAATCCTCTACCTGTAGGGTCTCATCAAAGGACTCTAGTTCCCCTTCATCAGTTAGCAACAAATAGTGTAATGAAGGTGAATACCTATTTGGTGCCCTGAAAGTTCTAGATGATATCCTCAACACCTACTCAGGTGTCGATTGCTCCATCTCAGGTTCTTCAGCAACAGTGTCTGTTGTTGGTTGAGTTTCTACTTCAACGTCTCTAGGGTTAGTCTTTTCCAACTTAACCTCAACTCTTACTTGCTTCGTAGTCTCTAAAATATTTTGCTCTATGACCTGGTACATGACAGACTCATCAAATATCACGTCACAATGTCTTAGAATCTATTTATTCTTGTCATCCCAAAACCCGGAACCAAAAAAATCAAAACCATAGCCTATGAAGTAACACTTCAGAGCCTTGGCATGAAGCTTATATCTCTTCTCTAGATCAATATTAATATAGGTAGTGCAACCAAACATCCTCAAGTGCGAGTACTTGATTTCTTTTCCAGTCCACACCTCCTCTGGAATATTGAATCCCAAAGGAATCGATGGTCCCCTGTTGATCAAGTAAGCAGTTGTGCTCACAGCATTAACCCAAAAGGACTTAGACAGCCCACATTGTATCCTCATACTCCTTGCAGGCTCATTCAATGTTCTGTTCATCCTCTCAGCAACTTCATTCTGCCTTGCCTTACCAAGAACTATTCTCATCAATCTGATTCCCTCAGCTTCACAGAATGCCTTAAACTCTGACTTGTCATACTCTCCTCCATTATCAGACCTCATGTATTTGATTTTCAGCCCTATCTAATTTTCCTTAGCTCCGATACCAATTGTTAGGATCGTATCTACTCACACTCACAAATTGCATGAAGAAAAAATAGAGAGAAAGTAAAGCTAGAGAGAGAAAACAAACACCGAAACACGTGAAATAACATGGTAACACCCCGTGAGTAAACTTTCACGGCGGTGGAGTATATATATTAATTAAAGACTCAGAGTATGTACAATTAGAGAGAATAAGTCGATAATGAACAGTAGAACCTGTAATTTGGGGGTTTAACCGCGTGAAAGAAACACCCCGTGAGTAAACTTTCAAGTGTACTCACGCGTGAAATAACATGGTAACACTTTGTGAGTAAACTTTCACAGCGGTGGGGTATATATATTTATATGAATGACTTAGTAGTGTTTTGGGGAAAATAATGAAAGAAACATTTTACGAAAAGGATAGGAGTAAAATTATTGAAAAAAGTTCATTCAAGTTCTCGAATTTTCTCCTATTCCTTCCTTCGAATCTGGAAAAAATTCCTTCCGTTTATTTATAAGTGCACATCACTTTAAAAAGAGTATAATAAGGGGGAAAAATTAAAGTAGGAGTAAAACATTGAAAATATACCAAAATAGGACTTCCATATTTTTATTCCTGAAGTAGGAGTTAAAATGCATTTACATTACCAAACATGGTTATGTACATTACCAAAAAGTATAGTAATGTGCACATGTAAAGTGCCACATTACAACCACATTACCACAGTGTGAAATCGTATTTCAGGAATAATAACAATGGTTATCCTATTTTGGTACATTTTTCTATATTTTAGTCCTATTTAGGGTGATTTCTATATAATAAGAAGAGAAATTTGTTTATAAAATATTTTAATCTATACTATATTTAAGAAAGGGGGAATTCCCCTTTGCATTTTCCCGCCTAAATAGTCTTCAATAAAAAAGGAAAGTGCTCAACATTAATAGGTAAGTGTTAAATGCAAAAGTGGCATGTTGAAGGTAATAAATATTTATGAATTATAATGTACCGTGTGTAATAAATTAAAGTGCCGAGTAAAAGGTAATTATGGTAATTAAATTGCGGTGTAATATATTATTTATTAATAAGGTAATTCTATACCTTAAAATTATTAATTATGGTACCGTGTTATAAAAGGTATAGTTAACACGGAGGATAAAAAGTATAATTTTTAAATAACCTTTTATAAAAAGTATAAATATTATTTTTTATGGTACCTTGTGAATAAAAGTATTCTCATACCAAATATTTTTTGGTCCAACAATTATATTATACATGAAATTTAAAAGTCTGGAAATTGAAATGACAGGGTGAAAAGAAAATTAATCAAAAAATAATTGTGTTTCTGTTTTTACTTTATACGTATTTTAATTAAGGTAGTTTCATTATAAGCAATGTAATAATAATAATATTAAAAAAAGTATGTTCCTTTTACGTGATTACCGTGTATAAAAAATTACCGTCTTTGAAAAAAACATGAGAACATTTCCTTAAACAAAAAAATATTCTTATACCTTAAGTTATCAAAATTAAAATCACAATCGTGTTTCCATTTAGACTTTTTGGTTTTTTTAAATAAAGTGATTTTCTTATACACGGTTTTGGTAAGAAATAATCAGAAATACACGTATATAATTAAAAATTTAAGAAAACCCACCAAATAGGACTAAATCATTAGACATATTCCCAAAATAGGAGCTCCTAACTTATATGCCCAAAATAGGAGATGCAAATCTCCTCTCTGGTTCAATTTTGGCCGACACTTTCATTTCCTTCCAGCCAATCTCTTTCGTTTCCTTGAGACGGCCACAATCGGCTAAAGGTTTCTTCCTTGTTGATCTTCTTCGCTGACACTTTTCCGATGTTGTTGCCACTTCCTCTAGCACTGCCACTGTGGTCGCTTCCGCCCATCCCGCCGCCATTGCCACTGTTGTCATCGCCACAGCCACTGCTGACAGTAACACCAATGCCTCCACCATCCCCGCCAACCGCGCTTCTTCCGCCACTTTCCCCACTTGCAGCACCCTTGTTTTGGTTGTCGCCGCCACTATTGCTGCCAACGGTAGTGCCCTACCTTCACTGTCCCTACCGGCGGCACCCCTTCCGCCACTGTCCCTGTCGGCAGCTCCAATACCGCCATTGTCCCTGCCCCGGCCACCACTGCCATTAAATATCCATACAGTGTCAAACAATTACATTATGGAAAATATAACAACACATAATGCGACACTTGAAACTGCATAACGGTATTCATCCTAATGTATAGAGTCACACGCGCGAATGGATAAAGCGTAATGCGAAGCATAATAATGCATCATGCAATACATGGCAATGCATAATGGCAAACATGCCAATGTATAATGTCATTGTTGTCCATGTTTTGTTCTATAGTTTAATTATTGTCTTATACTCTTATATATTGTAAGAAGCTTCAAAGTTATGAATGGTTACTTCTTCCAAATAGACAACTAGTTTAAAATTTTAAATTTGTCAAGAGGTTGTACTATAGTAATAACCAAAACATATAAGGTCTTGATTAGTTGTGTTGTTATTTGGGGCCTTCTTAAAACTCATTCCTGATTCCATACTAATGCTAGAAAATGCACAATATAGGCGGCAGTGTGCTCAGTGAATATAATGCCAGACCCTCCCGAACCCGAGGCAATAGATTTTGCATTCTTTCTTCCGATTGGCCGTGGAATGGGGTCCTCGTCATCAGAATCCGCAACGTTGAAGGGAGGGATTTGATCGGTCGAACTGATAGTCTCATCGACCTCAACCTCGGCGTTGACGCTAAATTATTGCTTTAAATTAACCAAGTTGCCGAGAGACATGAAAAATCTTACAAACTTGTGTCATCTCGAGTTTGATATGGACCGTATCAATGCTATGCCAGCCGGTTTTGGAAAACTCACATGCCTTCAAACCTTATCTGGATTTAGGGTTGGTGAAAATGGAGGAGAATGTATAAAGGAACTTAAAGAATTGAACTTCCTTCACGGGTCACTCTGTATTGCTGGTCTTGAGAATGTCGTTAGCAATGATCAGGCTTGCAAGGCTATGTTGGAAAATAAATCTTTTTTGGAGGGGCTAGAATTTCAATGGAAAAATGTCATAAATGATGTCCAATCGTCTGAAGTTTTATGCGGCCTGAAGCCTCATTCTGGCATTAAGAATTTAACTATAAATGGTTATGGTTCTGTGATGTTTCCAACGTGGTTTGGAGAACCATCACTATATCCTAGGATACAAAGCATTGTTTTAAACCATTGCATGTCTTGCAAACTATTCCCTGACCTTGGCAGCCTTCCAATGTTAAAGTCACTTTACATTGGACAGATGCGTGATTTGATGGAATTTGATTGCAGTGAAAGGGGATTATATCCATCGCTGCAAGCACTTGTATTTTGCGATATGGACAAGCTACAAGTGGTGAAGGGTCTAAAAGTAGGCCATATGGCTAATCTTTCCACGCTTATCTTCGAGAATTGCCCAAATCTAGTATCACTTCCTGTACTCCACCATTGTTTAAATCTCATGCTTTTAAATATTTTCAACTGTCCTAAGATACAACAGCTACCAATTGAAGGGCTGCCCAAATCTTTAAAATCCTTAACCATCAAAGGATGTAGCAACCTGAGTCAACAATGTGCAGGAGGTGTGGATTACAGTATCATACAGTCCATTCCAGAGGTTGTGATTGATGGATGAAAAGATATATGCTGCAACAGGAGGGATGGGACTGATTTGGCATAGTTTCCCGATTTGAGTTTCTGGCCGGCTAGGTAAGGGATTACCTTGCTTTGTTATTTGGGTGAGTGTAGAGTACTTAGTTGCTGAATGAGGATGCTGATAATGTTAGTCATTTTAAGGGATTCAGTGTAACTCAACTCTGTTTGTTAGAACTGCATCAATCTGTGCTTGGCAAACCTTTATTCTTAGCCTCCTTGCGCCGCCATGCTCTCACCACTCCTCTCGCGTCGCGCCAACCATTCCCTTCGATTAGATCAGTTTTCTCCCCCATCTGGATCCAAATGTCCTTTATAGATCGTATAGACTCCTAATGGGTGGCATTATATTCACTGAGCACACTGCCGCCTATATTGTGCATTTTCTAGCATTAGTATGGAATCAGGAATGAGTTTTAAGAAGGCCCCAAATAACAACACAACTAATCAAGACCTTATATGTTTTGGTTATTACTATAGTACAACCTCTTGACAAATTTAAAATTTTAAACTAGTTGTCTATTTGGAAGAAGTAACCATTCATAACTTTGAAGCTTCTTACAATATATAAGAGTATAAGACAATAATTAAACTATAGAACAAAACATGGACAACAATGACATTATACATTGGCATGTTTGCCATTATGCATTGCCATGTATTGCATGATGCATTATTATGCTTCGCATTACGCTTTATCCATTCGCGCGTGTGACTCTATACATTAGGATGAATACCGTTATGCAGTTTCAAGTGTCGCATTATGTGTTGTTATATTTTCCATAATGTAATTGTTTGACACTGTATGGATATTTAATGGCAGTGGTGGCCGGGGCAGGGACAATGGCGGTATTGGAGCTGCCGACAGGGACAGTGGCGGAAGGGGTGCCGCCGGTAGGGACAGTGAAGGTAGGGCACTACCGTTGGCAGCAATAGTGGCGGCGACAACCAAAACAAGGGTGCTGCAAGTGGGGAAAGTGGCGGAAGAAGCGCGGTTGGCGGGGATGGTGGAGGCATTGGTGTTACTGTCAGCAGTGGCTGTGGCGATGACAACAGTGGCAATGGCGGCGGGATGGGCGGAAGCGACCACAGTGGCAGTGCTAGAGGAAGTGGCAACAACATCGGAAAAGTGTCAGCGAAGAAGATCAACAAGGAAGAAACCTTTAGCCGATTGTGGCCGTCTCAAGGAAACGAAAGAGATTGGCTGGAAGGAAATGAAAGTGTCGGCCAAAATTGAACCAGAGAGGAGATTTGCATCTCCTATTTTGGGCATATAAGTTAGGAGCTCCTATTTTGGGAATATGTCTAATGATTTAGTCCTATTTGGTNGCCGACAGGGACAGTGGCGGAAGGGGTGCCGCCGGTAGGGACAGTGAAGGTAGGGCACTACCGTTGGCAGCAATAGTGGCGGCGACAACCAAAACAAGGGTGCTGCAAGTGGGGAAAGTGGCGGAAGAAGCGCGGTTGGCGGGGATGGTGGAGGCATTGGTGTTACTGTCAGCAGTGGCTGTGGCGATGACAACAGTGGCAATGGCGGCGGGATGGGCGGAAGCGACCACAGCGACAGTGGCAGTGCTAGAGGAAGTGGCAACAACATCGGAAAAGTGTCAGCGAAGAAGATCAACAAGGAAGAAACCTTTAGCCGATTGTGGCCGGGGCAGGACAGTGGCGGTATTGGAGCTGCCGACAGGGACAGTGGCGGAAGGGGTGCCGCCGATAGGGACAGTGAAGGTAGGGCACTGCCGTTGGCGGCAATAGTGGTGGCGACAACCAAAATAAGGGTGCTGCAAGTGCCGGTACCGGTACAATTTCGTGACCGGAAACGGTACCGCTAGTACCCGCCACCATCACCGCCGGCCGGGACATACCACCAATTCCGGGAACCGGTACCGGTACCACCCCCTCGGTACCGGTTCCGGTGCCAAATTTTTGGTACCGGCACCGCTGGTACCGGTTCCGGTACCCGTTTAATTTTTTTGGCTTTGCTTTGCTTTATCTCGTCGCTTTTTTTGAACCGTCAGGATATTAAATGTACTTGTTCTTCAGTTTGTGTATTACTCATTTTACAATATTTAAATAACAACTACATTTTTAGATTTTTATTTCATTCTTTCCTTTAAAAATTGCAAATTTATAATTTTACACTTTAAAATTTTTTTAAAGAAAGCAAAAAAAAATATTGAGGGGTGGCCGAAACCGGCTGGTCCGGGTACCGGAATTGGTACCGCCCGGTCTAGTCACGGTACTGATACCAAGGGATGGCGGTACCGGAACCGGCGATTCCAGAACCGGAACTGTCCCGGAACCGTCCTTGAACCGTACCGTGTCCACCCCTAACTCGAGGTATACAACTATTTTTATGGTTGCAAGAATTTTTATTATCATCCAAAATTAATAAATTTAACAATGTCTTTTTTCACTCGTGAAATAGCAATATAAAGTTGATCATGAGTGAACACTAACTTGGTTAAATGGAATCCAACAAATGTCAATGTTTGACCTTGTCTTTTCTTAATAGTCAAAGCAAAATATGAAATTAATAGGAATTGTCTTCTTTAAAACCTAAAGGGTAGTCTTGAATCAGATGATACAAAATTCATTATAAGTATATAAACCTTGTAACACCCCAACTCGCATAACCCGAACCAACGAATTATCGAGTCGGGTTGCTACTAATTTGGTATTCACATGCATAATATTTTGAAAACTTTTAAAATAAAACATACATTATATTTAAGTAAAACAATTCATAATTAATCGGAGTAAATAATTCAAACGTTGCAGAAGCTTTTAAAACAACAACGCCAAACATTCTTGTAGTTTAAACAAAATAAAAGTCAACAAGTATAGTGCGCTAGAACTAACTCATAGACTAGCACCCAACAATATATAATCACACAATATAAGAAGAATCAGCAAATATCATTATTGAATATCATGATCAATTATTTATTAATTTATTTATTTATATCGAGTTCTTGATATTTTTCTACACTTAACCTTATAGGCTAAGGTTTCCTTTTGACTAACTAAGTCATGGACACTGAGACGGATCCCCCGAGGCCACGCTTGATGAAACCCAAAGAGAATCCTCAATGGGCGGGTTGGAGCCTCTACAAAGGAATCCCTAGGTAGACTAATGACTCCCGTACGTACGTTTTTAACCCAAGACCCGTGAGTTATGTGAAGCTCGCCCCACCATGCCTAAATCCTAAATCTTAACTTATGGTGATTCTGAAATCTTTATCAATTCAAACCAGAACCCCTTAGATATACCGAGAGGTCTATTTCCATAATTCCAATTCATTACACAAAATCACAAGAAGTTTCCATACTATGACAAATCTTCTACTTAGGCAGTTTTCATTATCCTTAACACTTACCAAATTAGATCATAACTTGACATTTGTGTATATAGTTAACTGGGAAGATTCTAAACCAACTTCAAGACACCCCAATTTTCCCAAATCTGGACTATACAGCACCAAAGCATATGGCCCAATTAACAATTTAATGGCCCAAATCATAATTTTAGGAGAAATCCAAATATCACAATTGGAAGAGCACCTTGACTTCAATCGACCGGCAGTTGCACATCCACAAATCAGGGGCAGGAGCAGCGAGGCAGTAGTGCACAGAACAGAGGAAATAAAAGAAAGAAAAATTAAAAATATAGAACAAGGACAGATCAGGACGGAGACGAGCAGAAGGAAAAGAGCAACAACACCACAGCAAATCCGATTCCAAAAATTTCTCAAATCAAATTCAAGTTCCGACTTAATCAATCAAAGAGTTCAACACTTCAATCCACAAATTCAACATCAATTGCATTATTATATGTTAACAAATACTTATCTAATCTACGAATCAATTCTAACGAGAGATAATTCACTCACCTCGATATAATCGAAGAAGAATACCAAATTTACCGGTTGGAATCCGGCAGGATTTTCCGGTGGCCTTGGATGACAGAGCAGCGGCAGACCCGCGGTGGTTAGCTCTGGTCTGGCCTCCTGCTATGCGGCTCTTCTCCCTAGTCCCGCGATCACGGTAGCGAGGATGAAGAAGACCCGCTATGACCGGCGAAGCTCCGGCGTTTACTCCCTCTGGCTGGTTTCTGTCGAACGGAAGAACAAGCACAGAGGTAGTGGATGGTCAGGTTTTATAAAAAGAATGGATTTGGGCTTTCCCAATGGATTGTTTACCTGCCATTTATTATTATATTCCCAAACTTGACAAATAATACTCTCTCCGTCCTAAAATTAATTTCCCAGTTTGACTTTTCCAGTTAAACTTTTTAAACTTTGACTGTAGATTAAGGAAAAAATATATTGAATTTTCATATAAATTTATTAGCAATAGATTCATTTTGGAATATAGTTTTGAAATATATAATTTTTATAAAATATATTTATATAAAAATTGAGATATTGATGGTCAAAGTGTCGCATTGGAGACCGTGAAAAATCAAATGTGAAGTTAATTTTAGGACGGAGGGAGTATGTTGTTAGTTACTTGGTCACTTTTTTTCCGAGAAATATCCAAAAATCCAAATTTCGTTGGATAATATTATGTTTACGTCATATTTGGGACAGTCAACCCCCAACTTTCGTAACATGGATTCGTGTGCGGGACATGTCGTTGAACTCGTTCCATCGAGACCTTCGATTCGAGTATAATCTTGACGATTAAAAGGTTCTTTTTAAAATATCTTATTTTAACATTTTCGTTTGACATTTATTTAATTTTAACAAAACAAAATAGAATTGCGATTTATTCAAAATTCATTATGAAATTCTAGGGTATATTTCAGGGCGTTACAAACTTTTTTCCCGATTCGATTTCCTAAAACCACAACTGCACTCATAACGCTATTTCACGACTCTTCAAAGATTAATCTTATTTCATTACACAATCCATATGTTTGGTCAGTGTTTCACAATAGCAAAATGATACCCCATTTTTCAAAACTATTATGTGGTTTGATATTCTCAAACGTTTGATTTCATTCAAAAAATTAACTAGTTATCCAATCGTCATCAACACCTACATTTGTATCTACTTGGGATGATGAATCAAAACTCAAGTGCTCCCTGTTATCATAAAAAATTGAGAGACCTGACAAATTCATTTAATATTTCAATTACTTCGAGAATTAGTCATATAGTATGTTATCCTTAAAAAAGAATAATTGTTTATGATCTCTCTAATATGTTTGGATAAGTGAAGTCCACTATACTCTTGATAAGAGAACTTCTCTCAAGAATCAAGAATTTAGGAGAAATCCCATTATCAATAACTCTATGTAACGCCCCGAAATCTGGCCCAAAAGAATTAATTAAATTGTTAGAGCAATTGATTACGAATTGGGCCCAATAAGGGGTTAAAATTATAATTTGGATTTTAAGCCCAACTTTTATGTCATCTCGTAGGAAATATTTTTGGGATCGCGTCGGTTCAGACGGTTCGCGAATCGGAGTTATGGAACTCAAGTTATGACCATTTAATCAGGTATTTTGGGTCCGAAGCCCAATCCTTTTTGGAATGGGACCATTAATTAAACCTAAACCTAAATTTCAGCCACACGATTTCGTTTACCTTATCTTCTTCGTCGTTCGCGCTTCTTCTTCTTCCTTCTCCTTCTCCGTTCTTCTTCTTCTTTCTTCTTTCTTCTTCTTCGATTTCTTCTTCTTTCTTCTTCGCCGCCCAGCCAATCGCTCGCCGCCGGAAGCCAGAGCTCCTCCCGCCGCCATCACCGCCGTCGCCTTCCCCAGCCTCGCCGCACCAACCAACAGCGACCAGCGCCGCCGCTGCTTCCTTCGCCTCCAGCCGCCGTCGCCGAGCTTCCAGCCGCTGCTTCGCCTTCGCCGGAAACGAGCGCCGCCGTCGCCCTTTGCACAGTGGCCATCCGCCGCCGTCGATTGCAGCACCGCCAGTCGCTGCTCATCGCCGTCGAACTGCCGCTCCGCCACTGTCGCCGGCGTCCGTCACCGTCGCCGCATCCGGCCGCTGCCCCGAGTTGATATCACCGGCAGATTAACCCCCACGCCGGATTGATTGGTCGATTTCGTATTTTGACTCGATTTGACCCATTCGGTTGATTTCGTTGATTTGTCTTCCGTTCGAGCGATCGATTCGATTTCGACGTAATCCAGGTCCGTACTATGAAGTTAATAGCATTCAGAATAGATTTAATGGTTTAGATCGTTATATGTGTTTATGCTATAATTTGGCTAAATTGGTTAATTGAATTAAATTGATTGTTTGAATTGAATGGTTGAGGATTGTGAATTGACTGAACAGGTTTGACTTAGACTTGGGTTAGGTCCTGTTTGACTTGGACTGGATATTCTGTTGTCGTAGGTTTGACCGAATGGTTAAATCCAAACTTTAATGAATTAGTTAAGTTAATTAATTAATTCTAATCGGTGATTAAGGTCAATTGGTTTATTGTGTTGAACATAGAAACTGGCCATCGCTCGGGCGGCTGCAGGGCCTAGTGAGTGAGGTTAAGACGTGCGCACGAGGGTCTGCGATCTTGGGTTTGAGGCCATCGCCCGAGGGATCCTACCTCCACCGAATTGAGGCCATCTTCGGTATTACGGATTGAGGCTATCTCCGTCATAGGAAATAAATGTTAAGTGGTTTGACTTTGGTGAAAGTCTAAATTGGTTTGACCGGTGGTCAAAGAGT